AACTTCATGATTCCATGTTCCTAATTTTTAGCTATCACTTTCATTTCTTTTGTTATATAAATTGGTGTATGTTTCATTAAGGAAAACATAGAGAAAATTGATCCAAATTCTAGTGCCTTGATCTTTATTCTTTGGAAACTAGTCATCTCGAATTGGCCGTATCTTGAAAGGTTTACCACCTCGAATCGGTCTCTATCAAAGACCCAATATGGAATTACACGCAAAGTTCAAATGAATGTAAATTTTTCTTCAAATCAATCGGACTCTATAAAAAAATTGATTTATAGGTGGGCTTTGATTTTACTAGATTTGTGGTTTCTTGTTTCACTAAAACAAAATTACAGTCGCAACAATCCTTCAAATATTAAATAAAAATCAACACAATAATATCGGCTTGAATTATGTTTACTTTTTTCTTTTCTAGATTGTTGTAAATTTTGGAAAATGATCAGTGAAATTATTTAATCAATGTACTGTTGTTTTAATAATTAACTACAACATTCGTCAACAAGAACAAAAAACCAGGTATGCGAAATTAGTAGATAGTAATCGTGTAACTGTAACTTTTTGATATTACAATTTACATTTGCAATAATTTATTTAAAGTGAAACATTATATAAAGATAACAATATGTTTTTACTAATATTTGAAAGAAAACAATTAGAAAACTCAATAATTTATTCTGACACTTTCTCTGTTTCGTCTGTACGGTATGCGTTGGATAGTGGTTTGGTTCCTTCGGGGGATATGGGTACACGATGGAATAATTGGGTTCCTATTAAACTCAATATTCTAATATGGAGAATATAGTTTTCTAGTATTCCGACAAGGGAGAGATTATCGACTAGGGGTATTATGGTTCCTTCTATCATGTGCCCGATTTGTATGGGTACAGCGGTGACTATTGATCATATTTTTGCTGGTTGCCCTGACTTGAGAGATTTGGGTTAGGGTAGCTATATGGTGGGGTTTATCTCTCCCAGCTCAGATTTCGGTGCAGTCTTTAATCAACTGGTCGGATGAAGTAAATTTGCATAGAGGTCAAAGAAAGACGTTTGATGCGGTCATTATTACTTCCTTCTGGTGTTTATGGAATTTTCGTAATACTTCTATTTTTGGAACGGATTTACCGAAGAAGTTGCTTCTACTTGATGAAGTTGTTGAGAAATCATTTTTTTGGAATTCTAATAGATGTAGTAGGGTAAATTTACGTTGGATCGAATGGTTTTATAACCCCTCTTTAACTACTTCTATGATGTAATCTCTTCCTAACTTCTTGCTAGTTTTTTCTTTTTAATAAAATTTTGCCTACCAAAAAAAAAAACAATTAGAAATCATACGATTTAATGATAAAATTTATCATATAGTTTTATTGCGGGAGAGTTATCAATCGCTCTATATTTGCTTAAAAAATAAAATATGATACTGGATTTTTCTCCAAGCATTTGACTTGGAAGATGGATTACCGACATATGTCAGTAACAAATTAACAAATAACAAAACAATAATAAAAGAATAAATCATATAAAGGTATACAATAATATTATATTTATACATTTTTTAATTATATATTTAAGTAACTTTCTACCAGTTGTCAATCGAATTGTTTCCGTTCACATTTTCAATAAAGGTTGAAAGATCAGCATCCTTCAAACATATCCTCATTGAATTGTCTTTTCTCGTCTTTTTCTTTTAAATTATTTTTTATACAAGTTGATTTAATTATTATATATATATATATATATATATATATATATATATATATTAAAGTTGTGGAAGAAAGGAATAGTAAAGTTTGGATACTTTGTCCAGGTTTGGTCCCTTGATTTACATATTCGGTCCCTGTACTTCTTTAATTAATTTATTCATGTCCTTTTGTTTGTGTTCCATTCAACTTCCCATTTTTTTGGCAGAATTGGTCCCTGTATTATTGTTGGAAGTTAGGAATACTAAATTTGGATGTTTTTTGGCAACTTTGGTCATTATTCTTTACCCATTTTCACACTTTTGGTCCTTGCAATCAATACTTTTACACTTTTTTGGAACCTTTTAATATTTAAAGTTTGGCCACAAAACTTTAACGGTTTGACAACTTTGATCCCTTTTCTAAAAAGTTGCTAATTCCTACCCCTTTAATTCTTTAGCCATTTTCACACTTCTGGTCCTTGCAGTCAAAACTTTTACATTTTTTGTCCGGGGCAAAGCCCGGACTTTTCATCCTTGCACTTTCTATGTCAGTCATATTTATCAATTCGGAAACAACATTGAAAGCTTCTGGCCCCCGCGTAGCGGGGGTAACCTTTCTAGTTTTAATTATAATCAAACAAAAATAAAATATGCAACTAAACAAATATATAAATTTGGTTTTGCTAAAAATTAGAGATAGCAACATAGACGAATCATTGAATTGCATGGTTTGATTAACAATTCGGTTGATTGAGTCAATCCATAGTATCTCTATATATATTAAAAAGAAACTTGATAACATCACATTCAACAATCAAAGTCATTCATTGTGTTTTCTTGATTAACTTCAACAATTGAATCATTTTCATGATCCATCATAAAATAAAATAAAATTAATATTAACTAAATTAAGTTGACTACATTTGGAAAGTTGAAAACTTATTAGCGGTGACTGAAATTTTTAATTGGGATGTATTTAACTGAAATAAATGTCAGCATAATTGTCAAAACATAAATATGGTTCATTCCTTTTTAAAATCAAGTAATTTTTATATACCTTTCATAATTATAGAATTTGAAATCAAAAAATTCAAAATAGTATGATATGAATCACAGTATTAAATTCTTCATATCCTTTCCAAAATCGTTGTTCAAAATTATGTATAAGTATAATCTCATTCAGTTGTTATCACAATTTCGTGAAATCTGGACTTTGTAGCATCACGTTCGAATACCAGCTTCATAAGGTTAGCAATTTTTTTTTTGATTTACTGATTAATTTCTTACATCTTATTATAGTTTATGTGTTCAGTATATGTATCAATGGCTTATTAGTTGGTTTTTGATAAACGGATTTTCTATTATCTCTCTCTCTCTCTCTCTCTCTCTCTCTCTCTCTCTCTCTCTCTCTCTTGTGTGTGTTTGGATTGGATTCTATGTTTGGATTGGATGAGTAAAATCCAGTTTAATTAGTTCTGTGTTAATTGGATTGAATTATGCGTTTGGATTGGTTGAAAAAATAAATATAGAAAATTAAAAATGGAGTACTTTCCCGAAGGGTTTAGTGTCTATGTATATTAAAAGAGAAACTTGATGACATCGCTTTTAACAATCATGGTCATTCATTGTGTTTCCTTGATTAATTTGAACCATTGGATCATTTTGATGATGTCATCATAAAATAAAATAAAATTAATATTAACTAAATTAAGTTGACTACGTTTGGAAAGTTGAAACCTTATTAATGGCGACTGAAATTTTTAGTTGGAATGTATTGAAATGAAATAAATGTCAACATAATTGTCAAAACATAAATATGGTTTCTTCCTTTTTAAAATCAAGTAATTTGTATATACCTTCCATAATTATAGAATTTGAAATCAAAGAATTCAAAATAGTATGATATGAATCACGGTATTAATTTCTTCATATCCTTTCCAAAATCGTTGTTCAAAATTATGTATAAGTATAATCTAATTCAGTTGTTATCATAATTTCGTGAAATCTGGACTTTGCAGCATCACCTTCGAATACCAGCTTCATAAGGTTAACATTTTTTTTTTGATTTATTGATTAATTTCTTACATCTGATTATAGTTTATATGTTCGGTATATGTATCAATGTCTTATTAGTAGGTTTTTGATAAATGAATTTTCTATTCTCTCTCTCTCTCTCTATGTGTATGTGTGTGTTTGCGTGTATGTGTGTGTGTGTTTGGATTGGATTCTATGTTTGAATTGGATGAAGTAAAATTCAGTTAAATTAGTATTGTGTTAATTGGATTGGATTATGTGTTTGGATTAGATGAAAAAATAAATAAAGAAAAGTAAAAACTGAGTACCTTCCCGAAGGGTTTAATGTCTACATATGTTATTTCTTCAAAATGACTTATTTAGGCTTGCTGTAAAAATTACTTTTAATTGGAATGATTTGTATATTCTTTAATATATGTGTGTGTCTGTATTTCTCAATCAGCATATGCATTTTTGTCCAAAGGTAAAAAAAAGGCAAATGTAATTTTGATATTGTCGTATTATACATACTTTTTTGTAAAATGACCTATTTACCCTTGTTGTGTGTTTGTTTGTGTTTCAGTGTGTGTGTGTTTGGATTGGATTCTGTGTTTGTATTTGATGATGTAAAATTCATTTTAATTAGTTCTGTGTTTAGATTTGATTATGTGTTTGGATCGGATGAAAATAGAAATAAAGAAAAGTAAAAGTGGAGTACCTTTCCGAAAGGTTTTGTGTCTACATATATTATTTCTTCAAAATGACTTATTTACCCTTGCAGTAAAAACTACTTTTTTGGGAAATATTCATATATTTATTTAATATATGTTTGTGTCTGTGTTTCTCAATCAGCATATGCTTTTTTGTCCAAAGGTAAAAAAAAGGCAATGTACTTTTGATATTGACTTATTATACATACTTGCTGTAAAATGATTTTTTTACATCAAAATTATAATGCAAGTGTTATCATCCTCCTACGTATGGAAAAGCTCAAAACTTGGGGTGGTAAGAATATTTTTTTATTATAAATGTCCATGTCATTACATTAATATTTTATTTATAAGATAAATTAATTTATAACTTTAATTGTTATTTCCAGGTCAGCCTCAAGTGGATAACTATTTGTTTGGGTCGAGATTGTATATTAATGATAACATGTCTCACATTTCAGAATTCAAAAAAGTGTATATCTTTTATCATTAATTAATAGCTTAATGTTTGTTTTTCCTTATTCTTAATCATTAATTATTTATATTGTTTAGCTTCTTCATTTTTTCTTCTTATATGTAGTATTGTTGATATGGATTTGAATGTTGAGTCTTCCATTAGTACTACACAACTTAACACCAATATTGTTGTGGTCAAGGCAGAGGATTACTACATCCGTTTTCCAATGAAGAACATTGATGATATTCCAGATTACAATGATGTATACTTAACAATATTAATATTTTTCCATTAATTTTATAAATTTATGGCGCATAACACAATGAATATATATATGAAAAAAAAATTTATATATGTTTTAAAAAATTTATGAAATAGGAAATTGGTTTGTCCATCATTGCTATTGTCATCGATTTTGATTTAAACGAAGGCTGGTATTCCTTTTATTGTCGTGACTGTTCAAAAAAAGTAAGTAAAAATGATGATGATACTAATGATGAACCATTTACTTGTGATGGTTGTGGTGGAGTTTCTGATGTTTACAGCAAGTAAGTTCATAATTTTACATTTGTAAAGTTCTTGTGCCATTAATCTATATTCAAATGTTCCCAATTTTATTTCATTGTCCATTAAAGTTTCATTTTATAATTTTTAGGATGAGGGTCGTAATTCGTGTTCAATATGAAACTGGGTCTGCTTCCTTTGTATTGTTTGACCGTTACGTTAAAGATATTATTCATCGTGGTAATCAGTGGTTGATGGAAAAGATATCAAAGGTAGCGTTAATTTTTTTAATCGTCAACTCATATCTTATTTTGTTTTATGATATTAATTTTGTTTGATATATGTATTGAAGAATTGAATAAATTCATTTTAACCCATTAATGCAACCAATTCTTTTTAACATAAAAAGTTGTCTACAAATATGTCCTTCAACGATTTGTACTTTTTTATGCGTTCCCCCGCATTTAATGCGGGTTGTAATCTAGTTTCTTTTATTATTTTTATTATATTTGTTATAATAAGTGATTGAAAAACTACACCATCAAATACTTTAATTTTTTTGAACGACAGATATATTAAAAATCTAGCAAGGCACTAGACAGAATTACAGAGTACAAGCATTACAAGGATCAATACACCACTCAAACCAACTAGTGAAATTAAAAGAAAATCTATGCTTAATCCAATTAAACGAAACTAAGGCCATCCATAATGCTCTCCACGAGCAAGGGTCGTGGAGAGCTTCCAAATTAGCAACCACGAACCACCCAAACAATCGGGGTACTCTCCACGACCACGAAGAGAGGGAAAGAAGAGTCGGAGAAGAAGAAGTCAGAGAGAGGAGAAGAGAATGATTGGGCGTTCTCCTTCGTCCTGCCTACCGCAATCGACAACAAAGACGAAGGATAACGATGTATAGGGGTGGTGTGCACGAACCACTTTTGTTGCCACGTCAACCACGGAGCCTCTCGTGCATGGTATACTGGAAGGTCTAATTGGATATCATCCACCAATTTTAAGGGAGAGCATCTCTTTTTGTTGAACATAACTGATTATTAATGACACATCAACAATGTTACAGGGAAACCTATTAAATTCGAGAATAATGGTTTAATTGATAGGTCAATATCGAGTTTAATGGTCTATTGTGCAAAAAAAATAGTTTAGTGACCAAAGTGGACAAATGACTAAAGTTTAATGTGCTACAGTGACATTTTCCCAAATAGAAAAGAAGGAGCAATAAGGAGGCTGTCGGAGCAGCCCTCGCTACCACTGTCGACGACAACTTTCTAGGCTTCCTTTAGGTTTATTTTTCCTTGTCTTGTTGAAGCTGATCATCTCTATCCTCCCCCTTCTCATTGGTTTTCATAAGCCAAAACAATCACGGGTCTTCTTTGGTGTTGGATTACGGTTTGACGCGGAAAGATTCCTGAAAACGAACAAATTCTCGAGCCTAGATCAAGATCACACATCTAGGGTGAGTTTTCATAGCCCCATTTTATGTTTTTAATGATTTTGGGAGAAAATACATACTTGTTTTGCTATATATGAAAGAGTGATGCTATTATATGTTTATTTCATGTTTTGGTTGCATGACTAAGATCTTGAAATATTGTTTGATCATTTGAGTCATTATACTTCAAAATTGTGTCGAAATTCAAAGAAACATGTTAGGAATCATCTAAACAAAATATGTGACATGTTATGTGTATATTTTGTCATAATATGATAATGGATAAAGTTATAATAATGGATAAGTTGTTAGATGAATAACTAGCTTATAAATGTTCACATGTCTCTTTTATGTAAAATGATATGTTTTAAATGTCCATATTTGTCATAAACATACAAATGTTTTACATCATATGTTAGACATACAATGCCAACCTAGAATGTTTATTTATTGTTTATTATAACAAATAGACAAATAAATACTTTTAGCTAAATAAAATAGTAAACATTTATTGTTTATTATAACAAATAGACAAATAAATACGTTTAGTGAAATAGAATCTAGTATGTAAATACATGATTATTTGTTAAAAATATGTATTTGGTATATTTATCTAAAAGATTTGCACAAATAGTCAAAATGTGGTTTTTATATAAAAAAGGATATGATTTTATGTAAAAATGGGTTTTTATATAAAAAGATGTCAAAATAATCCATAAATGATTTTTATATAAAAATGATGATAAATATCACTCACAAAAGTTTTTATATAAAAATTGAACATTAAATGTATTTAACACTTGTTATAATATATATATATATATATATATATATATATATATATATATATTCACATTTTAGCTAAATGTATATCATATATGTATATATCAAAGTGTTAAAAGAAAATTTAGCCACAAATCAAGTTTATACATGAAATAACGATTTGATCACAAATTTATATATTAATAATTATAAAAATATGTACTTTGGAAAATATCAAATCATAATATATATATATATATATATATATATATATATATATATATATATATATATGAAATTATGACATCATTTCGTGAACAAATATTATTTAACGACATTTGAATCAAAATATATTAGAAACGATTTTATTATGGTTTTCGGTTAATAACTTCTTAGTTCGTATGTTTGTGTTTCAAATTCTATGTTTATTGGTTTATTTCACATTGGTTGAAATATGGATTTCTTCAAAACGCGGTCATTACGCTGCCAATTTTTGTTAGAAAGTCATTATAAAGCTTAAAAACTCTGAGTATATAGAACTTAATAATTTATGTTTTGAAGCTTGATATTCTTTCTTGAACGATTTGAACTAGTTAGTCAATAAAACTCTTATTGAAGTTTGAGAGTAAAGCATATGCACAAAATCGTAGACTTATTAAATACGGGACTTACTATGCGAGAAACACGTCATCCACTAAGAACATAAAAGTTAGTACAAACCCTCTATGCTATAACAATTAACTTGTGAGGAACATGTAACTTATTGATATCTACACTGGTTGATAGCCCTGCATGGGTTGCTAACAACAACCCATTGTCTGACAAGACGAAACAGACGCAATTGTTCTTTCTTTTCTCATTTCACAACATCGATGAAGCGTTGATGATGATCGTGACACATCTTTCTCGGCCGTAGTTCGGTTATAGGCGCATATTAGAACTCATAAATTCATTCTAGAATATGCAGGAATAAAATAGAATGATTTATTCAAATGGTTAAGTGTTAAATACTTATTAATCCAATTAATGTTTTCTAAAAATTCAGCACAACACACTTATTAGTTATAGCCTATGTTTTAATAAGTTATAATTAATAAGCAAAAACTCTTTTAGTTGTATGAGATTACAAGTGTAAACAAATTGAAATTTACTCTTTTATAAATCATTGGTTTTAAACACACTTTTGATTATAAAAACATTGAGTCTAAACCTATAAAGCTCACCAACATTATTGTTGACTTATTGTTTTAAATGTATGTATCTTCAGGAACTTAAAGAGTTGGAAGAATACACACTTTGTGTGTGTGATGAAGGATTTATTTCCTTATAATAAATGGTTGGCCAATTTATCAGGTCTTTTGTTCATTTCTTACACTTTGCTGAACTTATATTTAATATTTATCTCTTTTGGATTTATTAAACAATGTAATTCTTCATACTTGAAATCTAGAAGAATTTAATGTTATATAAATCATGGTATTATTCAATATATGTTGTTTAACTATGAACCAACGTTTACGTCGCAACCCCGACGTTTCTGCCATCGGTCGGGGTGAGATAAACTCACAAAGCTTTGTGCTTAAAGTTGTGGATTAAATGTTTTCAAGTACTTTTCGAATCGTAGGAAGGTGAAGGCATGACTATACACTCACATATGTAATTTTATGATTTGGGATTCCACAATACTTTTCTTATAACTCTGATTATGGATTTTGGTTTATTGAACAAATGGTTTCACCTTGATTATATTCTATGAAAAAATGGGTGTTTATATTATTTTAAAAATGATAAAATATTCTAAAAATCAGGACGTTACATTGGAACTCATGGAGAGTTGAAAAATGCTACTTCTTACTTGAAAGAACAATTATAAATGAAAGATTTTGGTAAAATAAAATTTTGTTTGGGTCTTCAAATTGAGCACACAAAAATGGGATTTTTTGTGCATCAATCCAATTATCTAGAAAAGTTTCTTAAAAAGGTTTTATATGAATAACTTACATCCATTGAGTAACTCGATGGCGGTAAGACACCTAGATGCCAAGAGGACCAATTTCAGCCTTGTGAAAAACATAAAAAACTTCTTGGTCCCAAAGCACCATATCCTAGTGCTATTGGTGCACTAATGTATGTTGATAATAATACAAAACCTTATATATCCCTTTCTATAAACTTATTAGCAAGATATAATTCTTTCACAACAAGAAGACACTAGAATGGAATCAAACATGTTCTTCGATATCTCCGTGGTACAATAGATATATACTTATACTACTCAAATTCATCAAAAGCGGAGTTAATCGGTTATGCAGATGCTGGATATTTATCCGATCCATAAAAAATCTCGATCCCAAATAGGTTATTTATTCATCTGTGGAGGTACAACAATTTCTTGATATTCTGTTAAAAACAAACTTTAGTTGCTGATCCTTCTAACCATGAAAAGATTATAGTAATTCATGAGACAAGTTGTGATTTTTTTTAGAACGACAACATTATATAAAAACCTCACACTAGCAAGAAGTTAGAGAAAATAATACATGCAATCCGTGAATGTATCTAGTTAAGAAATTTAACCCACCATATTTGTGAGAACTATGATTTAATTTCTAACAGGGATGTTCCAACCATACTATATGAAAATAATACGACTTGTATCACCCAATTGAAGGAAGGGTTTATCAAAAGAGGCAAAACCAAACACATATCACACAAGTTTTTTTTCACTCATTATCTTCAAAAGGAGTGTGACACCAGCATCTAGAAAATTCAACAAAGTAACAACTTGGGTGATTTATTCACTAAAACACTTCCTACATCCAAATGTGAAAAGATGGTGCGGAATATTAGTATGCGACACTTCAAGGAAATCAAGTGATGTGTCCATAGGGGGAGTTGGAAGCATATTACTTTTTCCTTAGCTAAGTTTTTCCCATAAGGTTTTCTTAGCAAAGTTTTAACAAAACAATTATTTCCAATGCCTATTATTAATCATGTACTCTTTTTCCTTAATAAGAGTTTTTTCCCATGAGATTTTACATATTAAAGTTTTAACGACACATGATACAATCGTCATTCAAGGGGAAGTGTTATGAAATATTATTTAGTGAACGACCATTAGATTCCACATATTTTCTCATCTATCTCCATCATTAGTGAACATTATAACAAATATTATTATGAGTTTTACGAGTATAGTTGTCATAACATAACTTACTTTCATCATCTTTTATAAATATAAGATTGAACGGTATCAACACAATTCCACCTCATTGATGTTGACATTTTTATCATTTTTGCTAGAAGCTAAAGTGTGGTGTTGGAAGACAAATCTTGGCAAAAGAGGGTAGAATGAGGAGAGTGAGAGAATGAATTTGAACGGCAAAAGAAGAGAGAGAAATCAACAATAGTATGACGTTTGCATATTGCCGCCGACAAAAAAAAGAATAAAAGGTCGGTGTTTGTCGCAGACACTAGATGCCACGTCGGAATGCCGACGGCAAAAACCTCATGACACTGTTTAGCCTAAATAATGAGTAATATGTATTGTAAATGTTTGTTGTTTTTATCACAAAGAATGAAATAAATTTCTTTACAATCTCATCTCCTACTTTATTTTTTAACTTAGCTTTATATTTTATAATAGCATTTGTTTTTACTTGGATAGTTCATGGGAAGCATAAATAATTCAGTGTTAGTTAGAATTTATTGCTTGTTTTGCTCTTAATTCCTTGCTAAAGTATTCCAAATTTTATAATATTCAGCCGTTCTAAATAAATCATTTAAAAAGCTGAAATTATCGGTAACATCTCACCAAGCTTGCTCAGGTTGTTTTTGTTAGTAATAGTATCCCAATAACCAAAGATACATTAACAACTTACATATAGTTTAAAGAACCTTTAATACATTTGTCTAGTTTAGCTAATTTTAATGTCATAAAATCCTGAGTTTATATTTATAATTTTTTTTTTAAAAGTAAAAATGCTACTTTTTAATAAATTAACCATAATCGTTTTTTTTTTATGGTCAAAAGTTGGTTTGGTAAGATAAAGTGGCTTGAGTTTTTTTAAATAATGTTATCACTTGTTTTTTCTCGTCAACTAAGAAAGAGGAGGTCAAGTCAACAAAACCCACGAGGCCACGACTACAACCACAAACACAACCACGATCGACTGACTGTAGCCGGTGTAGCCGACGTTCGAGTAAACTCACCTGCATTCTTGATTCTTCGTTGACACGGTTTATAAAGGTACACAACCAACGGCTCCCCATTTCACACCCCTTTCGTGGGAAAAGTCTTTCTTCTTTGTTTCTCCAGATCTCATATTATCCGCCCTTCATCCAAACAACTGTTTCTATCTAGGTCTGTGATTTTTGCACTTAGTTCGCGTTAATTAGGTAATGATTCTTCTGTTTCTTATTACTAATTTTGGTTGATTCGTTACTAATTAGATCCATCGCTGGATTTTAGGGCTTTTTATATCCTTTTTGTATACGGTCTTATATATGCGTTGCGTTGTTGAATTCCTATTCTTTTTCAGATAACTTATGTTTATCTCTGGTGTATTCTTGATTGTTGTTTGTAGAAATTGTAGTTCTAACTACTTTTTTTTATTTCTTTTATGCAGAACTTGCGGAAACTAAGCATCGATGATTATGGAACCGCGGCATGATGAATTCTCTGATTACATCAATAGTTTCTCTTTGGATGATGAGAGTATCTTGCCTATCTTTGGTCAGTCGCCAGGCCTTGCTAATGGATACCGATTCAGAGAAGAACCTTTAGATCTCAGCTTTTTAGAAGCTCCTAACAGGGAACCAAATTCTGGCCCCTATACTTCAGATTCCTCTTCACGCATGTCCACACAAGTAGACTCCCCCGATGACTTTTCAGATTGTGTTGTTAGGTACATAAACCAGATTCTCGTGGAAGAGGATATGGAAGCTAAACAGAGCATGTTTCATGACCCCTTAGCTCTACAAGCAACAGAGGAATCCTTCTATGAAGCCCTTGTTGAGAAATACCCTCCTTCAAACGTTGAAATCCCCGAAGAGAACTTATTCAGTAGCGCAAGTGACTACAGCACAAACAGTAGCAACTCCAATGATTCTCAATGGCCTGGTGGTGATTCTCTTGAAGCCAAATCATCATCACTTCCTCAAACACATTCTCTTGAATACCCTTTGTTGTCTTCATTTGGCTCTACCACTAGCGTTACCAATGATGGTTTCAGCACATTGAATTCAATGGTAAACACACACATCATTGAAAACATATTCACTGATAACGAATCTATCTTACAGTTCAATAGAGGGATGGAGGAAGCTAGCAAATTCCTCCCTCCTAGTAAACCCCTAGTCATCGATTTAGACAAATACAACTTACCTTCAAATCCAAGACAATCTCCTACAAAAGTGGTTGTCAAGGAAGAGAATGTGGAGACAAAAGGTAACTCATTCAGTGGATTCAGGGGAAGGAAAAAGTATCATCGTGAGGATACCAGTTATGAGGAAGAAAGGAGTAGCAAACAGTCTGCTGTTTTTGAGGAAGAAGTCGAGCTGTGTGATATGTTTGATAGAATCGTTTCTGGTACATATAATGAATGCTCTTCCACATCCGCCCCTGAAGAACCACCTAAGCCTGTAGTAAACAAAAAATCACAGCAAAATGGACATGCTCATAGATACACCAGTGGTTGGATTGATCGTTCTTGGGGAGGAAGCTCAGGTGAACCCACAGATGTTAGAACTCTATTAGTAAACTGTGCACAATCAGTTGCTACAGATGATTACATAACTGCAAACGAACAACTAAACCAAATAAGAAAACACGCTTCCCCTTCTGGTGATGCCCCACAAAGGTTAGCTCATATCTTTGCTAATGGTCTTGAAGCACGCTTAGCTGGCATCGGTTCTCATCTTTACATGTCTAAAAGCACCATAAAGATCTCAGCTTCTGAAAAGCTGAAAGCTTATCAGTCTTATATCTCATCTTGTCCTTTCAAGAAGATTGCCATTTTCTTTGCTGGAAAAATGATATACGATGCAGCTTCATCACATTCCACTCTTCATATTGTAGATTTTGGTATTGCATATGGTTGTCAGTGGCCTATTCTCATCAAGCATCTTTCAGAGAGGCCCGGGGGCCCACCTAAGCTGAGATTCACCGGAATAGACCTCCCTGACCCTGGTTTTAGACCCTCTGAAAGGGTGGAGGAGACAGGGCGTCGTTTAGCTAACTATTGTGCAAGATTCAAAGTTCCATTTGAGTATAACGCAATAGCTATTCAAAACTGGGAGTTGATCAAGATTGAAGATCTGAAGCTACAAAGAAACGAGTGTCTTGCAGTGAACAATCTGATTTCTTTCAAGAACTTACATGATGATTCGGTTATGGAGAGCAATCCACGAGATGGTGTTCTTAAGTTGATTAGGGACATGAAGCCTGATGTGTTTGTTCAGACTGTAGTGAATGGATCTTACAGTTCTCCGTTTTTTGTGACCCGTTTCAAGGAGGCTCTTTTTCATTTCTCTTCAATGTTCGATATGTTTGATGCTACTTTAGATCGTGAAGATGAGGAGAGGTTGAATTTTGAGAGGGAGTTTTGTGGGCGTGAAGCTCTGAATGTGATTGCATGTGAAGGTGGTGAGAGGGTGGAAAGGCCTGAGACTTATAAGCAGTGGCAAGCTAGGAATTTGAGAGCTGGGTTCAAGATCAAACCTTTGGAGAGGGCTTTTGTTTCTAAACTGAGGGGGAAGGTGAAAGCAGGGTATCATAAGGATTTTGTGTTTGATGATGATGGGAAATGGGTGTTACAGGGATGGAAAGGTAGGATTCTGCGTGCTACTTCTTGCTGGGTCCCAGCTTAGCTTTAGCTTAGGTTAGGAGGAGTCTTCTGTTCTGTTGCTGATTCTGAATGAAAAGGGGGAATTCCTTTGGCCTTTGGGTGCGTCTTTAATGGAGCTCTCCTGTGTGGATGTTTTGAAACTTGACAGAAGGTATGTGTGGTTTCTTTATCTCTCTAAAATCATAATTCACTTGACTCTTCTCATAAGTCATGTGGCACTTTTAAAAGAATATATATATTTTTGGAAGCAATGATTTAAAAAAAATGTCATGTATAGTATCGTGAAATGTGTGGTTGTTTGGGGATTGAGTTAATGGGTGTTTAATGTTGTCAGATGATATTTGCTGTGGTGGCTGCTTCTCCAGGAAGTCTGTTTGTGGGTTATAAGAAGAAGAAGAAGAAAAATGACATACAATACCTTATAAGGAACAGTTTTGCGAGCTACATGTAAATTATGCATCATATCTATCTCGTCATTAACTAGTTTTTACTTAAAACATGGATTGATCATATATATATCATGGTCTGTTATATACAATATCCCAGTTGGAACGTGTCATTGTAACAGAAGTCTTCATTTTGTGTTTAAGTTGCTTCAAATATTCTAGTGATATTTTGGGGTGGACGAGCCATGGTTTAAAACCCTAGACCTCTTTGTGTGGAATTTTGCAACCTCCACCAGTAGGCTTCCATAGTGGGGGGGATATTGTTAAAGGAGGTTGAATCCATAAAGCAAAGTTTTAATGAAAAGAATCGGATTTGTTAGGAACTTTAGAGGGAATAGGGTTGGTTTGACGATTGAAATTGTTCTGGTGGGATCTTGTAAGGTTCACTGTCTTTAATTTGATAATTCTGATCTTATGGTTGAGTTGCATGAATTTCAGTACGTGACAGTCTACAAGAGGCACTTTTAGGTTTTAGTTATAAAAACGAAAGTAACGTACTAGATGAATGCGAGGACTGTTGAGATTCTTAGGGTTGCAAAAGATGGTGTATTGTGAGTCTGAAAATTGAACAAGGCTGACGAAAATGGCGGTTTTAGAAGTTAGAAGCAATTTTGGTAGTTTTGATCATATTTTTTAAATAAAAAATTAATAGCAATAACCGTGTAAAATATGGTCAATTTCTTAAACATGTTCCTGATTTTTGTATAGACATGAGTTAAAGAAAATGAGATAGGAAAAGACGGTGAGTTTTTGACACATTGGGCGGTGAGTGTCGGTTACCTAAAACGGGCCGATGAAAATATGACAATTGTGGTGAAACAAAACGAAGCTTCTTCTTTATTATTTATGCCGTATTATTTGAGATTTAAGAAACGAACCCAACTTAATTAATCTTTATGTCTATTTAATTAATCTATCTTTAAAGTCCAATCCCAAAGACATTATATTCATGTATCATTCTAACAAAAATCAGCATAACGATAACAAGAAAGAAACCGTAGATATCTGTTTTGTTTTACACAACTTGCACTCATTAATTGCATTGCTTTACTCATGAATCATATACACAAATTATCTTATGTATTTTATATATGATACAATGGAATCCACAAACACAATAGTTATATAAACAAGAAAACGGAAAAGCATGTACCTTTATTAATCTCAACTTGGAAAGAATAAGTCAGGTTTAATTTATTTGTGTTCGTTATTTCACGATTGAATTTGTAAAGGGGTGGTGATCCGTACACAACGCTTTTTAGCCATATACAACAATTGATTGTTGACTGGACTTAAAACACATACAAGATAAAAATCAAGTGCTTTGAGTAGTTGAAGTGAAGATGGGTGTCTGGAAGTGTCAAGAAGGATAACTGAAGGACTAAAAAATAATAAGTTGAAATTAATATTTGTTCAGTGTATTAACTATTAAGTAAACACACACAAACAATCATACATATCATTCAAAATTTTCAATTATTATTCTCAAACTTTTCATCCATGAAAGTTCCTATAGCCATAGTACATGGTTTACTTTTGCGTACACTCAACCCTAAGTACTTGAGGAGTATGTGTATCATCCCTGCTAATATTCATCATTTACAATCCTCTATATCAAGTTAGCTAATCGTTTAATGTATGTAATTGGTTAGTGTATCAAAATATAAAGTGTTTTGTGATCAAAACACTTCTAGACTCTCTTGGCTGGAATGGATCGAGGATTGGAATAAATTGCTAGAAAGTTGTCAAAGGAATCCTCAAGGCCTAGATATATAAATATGATTTTGGCATCGTAGGTCGCCTTATCTAGATTTTTTGTGTCTCTGAAAAGCTACATATTTGGTCAACGAAACACATGTTGCTTGTTGTTTTAGCTGTTTTTGTGTGAGAATATGAAATATTCTCGAAAGTAGAATTGGAATGATCAATACGACTCTAATCATTATTAGCACAAAATTGATTGAAAAATAAAAAACCATGTTTTTTCATTTTATTTTAGTATAACAGCATTATATATTCCAGTTTCGATTATTTTTTGCAAACTACATTTTAACTCCTAATTTCAACCCATTTATCTTTACATGAGTTGATTTGAGTTATACTATTATAGGATTCTTACACCGAATCAAATAAATAGCAATTGAATAGATTTTAGGGGAAATGACACAAATGCCCTACGAATTTTTTAGGATTTATCCGTTAAGTCCCTAAAATTTTTGTCGGGCTTTATGGGTCCTTAAACTAGGATATTATCTGCTCTTTTAGTCTCTGTCAACTTGTAATAGCCGGTTCAGTGACATTTTAGACCAAAAAAACTCACATTGTGCCCCCTATAAAATAAAAAAAAATAAGTTTGGGGATCAATTCGTACAAAAAAAAAAAAAAACTCTCATTCTTTTATTCTAAAGCCGATTCACACTCAATTCGTACCCTCCTAAGAAATCGATTGTTGCTCTTCTTTCCGTCTTCACCCTCGATCGTCACACACACTCACTGAAGATCACAACCCTCTTCCCCTTCTAATCGATTCTCTATCACAGCCCCCTTCCACTATTTTCTGTGATTTGATTTCAGCTCTTCAAGAAATTGACCCCCTCCTTCCTTCTTCTCTGTTCAAAATCACACAAGCTACCTCTCCTTCTCCCACCGAGTTGCAGGTTTGATAGATGCGATGTTGAGAAGAATACTTGGGTTTGATGAGGTTAACAGAGAAAACGAGAGTTAATCTCTTTTTTTTCTTCGATTTGCAGGTGATTGGTTATGATGATTGAGTGGTGGTTTTTGTAGGTTATGGGTGCTCCAATGGTGGCTTATTTCACGAGACAAAGGGGAGGAATAAAGGTGTTGGGATTGGGTTGTTGTTGTGGTATTGATTTGATGGTGATTAAGGTGGGTTATGGTGGCTGTAATTGCTGAATAAAATGTTGATGAGAAGTTGGTTCAGGAGGGTGCGAATTGAGTGTGAATCGGTTTTAGAAGAAAATGAGAGTTTTTTTTTGTACGAATTGATCCCCGAACTTATTTTTTTGGCTTTATAGGGGCACAATGTGAGTTTTTTTTATCTAAAAGGTCACTGAACCGGCTATTACAGGTTGACAGAGACTAAAAGAGCAGGTCATATGCTAGTTTAGGGACTCATAAAGACAGACAAAAACTTTAAAGACTCAACAAATAAACCTTAAAAAGTTCGTAGGACATTGGGTCAAAGTCAGTATAATTAAATGTTTATAATATCCTAAAAACCTTTTAGAAATGAATCATTATTTTAATAGTATAAATTTTGTTTACATTTATATAATAAATTGCTTATAAAAGTTAAAAATGATAATAAAAAGTATGTAAGCCAAATTCGGCGTTTGGTTTGAAGTATTTAAAGGGATTTCCATGGATTTGATTTTAAAATGCTATAAAATCCAATGTTTTGTTTAAAAATTAGTTAGACTTATAAATTCCATAATAATTAGATAATAATATGGTCATTGATTTTAAAACGTTGTTCTTATCCCTATCATTTTGTCATATAGACGTCAAACATGATACCCATCTTTCTTAAAGACAAAACTGCAAAATTGGTTCTGGTATTCAAAAAACTTTGGATAGAGTCCAAAATGTTTTTAACTTGCATGGACAGTCCAAAATCAAGAATTTCTTTTGGTTTTGGTCCATAGAGAACTTAAAAAGACAGTTTTGCCCTTTTATTTCTTTTTTGTATTTTTTATATTTCTTTAATAATTTATTATTTAAAATTAAAAATAAAAGAATTAGGCCCACCCTCTCTCCTCTCTCTCTCTCTCTCTCTCTCTCTCTCTCTCTTCAACACCTGCATCTTCTCAAAATAAAAATAAAATAAAATCCCACTGGTAACCTACTCCCCCTTTATCAGACTCTCTCTCCTATCTTCTTCTTCCTCACCCTCACCTTTAAATCAAGCTTATCTCAAATCGATGACATCAGGAAGAAACAAATTGATTTCTGAGTTTTTCGGACTGAAACAAATCGATAGGTGGAGGAACCGGCAGAAGATCTAATGAGAAAACGTCGAGATTTGGATAAAGAACAATTGTATATATCTCTCTCTCTCTCTCTCTTCATCTTCAACCTTCATCTTCTCAAATGGTAGAACTGTAGGAGTTTGAACTGATGGTCTGAGGAAGTCCGACTTATCAGATCTGATGAACTTGTTAGATGTGTCAAAATCTACCTTTGTTATGGCAACGAGAATGGAAGATGCCTCTTAATTCATCTCCAGATCCTATGCGAATTCTGATTTTCTGGAAATGATCGACCCCCAGCCAATATCCTACCAGTTCCTGATGGATGTGAACGCCGATTCCCCATTGAAGATACCGATTTGGAGATGCATAACACCCATGGTGGGATGTAAGGTCCACCAAGCAAATTACACCCTTTGTTTGCAAATAAAACGTAATATAATGGTAAAAAGGGGTATCGATCCTCGGGGAAATGGTTGTATTCAATCACCAATGCAATCCAATAGAGACTAGTGTAAATAAACTAACTAACTACAATTAAACTAAAGGGGGGGGGGGGTGTTGTGATTGCTTGAAAACTAAAA